CACACACACACACACACACACACACACACACACACACACTCACTCACTCACTCACTCTCTTTTCTCTCTCTGTCTCTTTCTCTCTATCTCTCTCTGTCTTTCTCTGTCTTTCTCTCTTTCTCTCTCTCTCACTCTCTCTCTCTTCTCTCTGTCTCTCTCTGTCTTTTTCTCTCTGTCTTTCTCTCTTTGTCTGTCTGTCTCTGTCTGTCTCTGTCTTTCTCTCTTTCTCTCTCTCTCACTCTCACTCTCTCTCCTCTCTCTGTCTCTTTCTCTCTGTCTTTCTCTCTCTGTCTCTCTGTCTCTCTTTTTCTTTCTCTCTCTCTCTCTCTTTCTCTCTCTCTCACTCTCTCTCCTCTCTCTGTCTCTTTCTCTCTTTCTCTCTCTGTCTTTCTCTCTCTGTCTTTCTCTCTCTGTCTTTCTCTCCCTCCCTCTCTCTCCCCCCCCTCTCTCTCTCAGCTACAATTATAAGCATCTATTGGTGAAGCTACAATGACCAGCATCTGACCTTGAGTCAGAACTGAAGAAGCTTCTCGGATGAGAAGCGAAAGACCTTCAAGAAAAAAACAAAACTCCCAGCTGTCTTTTGAAAAAGCTCCTTTGGGACATTTCTGTGCCAAAGTGTGGGTGTGTTTGTCTATGCATGCTTATAAGCATCATTTATAACATGCAAGCATAACTACATATGGATGCATCCACACACATCCGTCTATGAATCTAACGAGGGAATGGCTCCCTGCATGGGTCTAAACAAGCATGATTTGCTTAACTCTGGTCTATTAAATAAAGCACAGTCGGATTCCCACATTATACTAAGCCAACGTCTATTTTTATTATACATCTTATGATAGCCGCACTTCATGCAATATGATTAACTGAAACAGAGCAAACCATGTTGAGAGTTAGCAGAATGTCTAAGCCGGGGCGGTTATAACGATTATACCTACAGTATTTAATTACTAGCTGGGATCAGCACATATATAAGGCCATCCTTCCTTCCAATTATTTCCATAAGCATTAAAATTCACTGGGTCCTTACTTATCTGTTATAGTTGCTCGGCTGAAAACAGAAAGCCAAGAAAACACACTGAATTGAACTGGGCTGGATTTAACACGCTTTGAAAACCAAGCCCTTGGGCGACCTTGGAATATCATCAAGAGCCTCGCAAAAG